ATTCCTGCTAAAGCCCATATGCCCATTCTGCCATTCTGAGATTAGTGTCATACTCCTTTTCTCCGTCCACCATAATACCCACTTTCCTAGGCAGAATATAAAAACTTTTCATTCACTTTGTACTCTTTCCGAAGAGGAGGTTGAGTCTGTCTCTGTTTTTTATAAAACATATGTAACAATCTGTTAATAAACTTATAAGTTAACAGAAAAGGTTTTGAGAGTTCCACGAGTTATCTAAGTAAAAGAATTAAGTAACATAAAACATGAAAAGCTTTTTCTGCAAGGTGCTGGATTGTTCCTATAAAATACAGGATAGGCTGTATCAGTAAGTGTAAGTGTATACATACTTGTGACTAAATATCTGCTTCCAGACTTGTTATTGGCACTTAGACACACTGTTGCACCATAAGCAGCATCTTCAGTTTAAACCCTGTTTCAGTTACCTACTTGGTAGCAGTACGGTACCAGCTGGAGCTGGTAATTTGCTGTAGCAGGACAGCTATTCATTGACCTAGGATGGGGAAGATCTCTGGCTGGCTGTCTCATAGATACGGTGCTTTCTCGTCATCTCCCAGCCATGAAGAAGCGGTGGTGGGGTGGGAAAGGACCTTAACTTGTGCTGATTCTGCCAGCTGGGGGCCAGGTTCTACTGCATATATGAACTCTGACATAGCACATGGAAGAAGGGACTTCCCGAAGCAGAGAATGGATGGGACATACTATTTTTCTGATCAGAAGACATTCCTCACCCTGACATAAGAAAAAAAGTCATGTAATATTTTTGTACTTTTTCCCCCCTTTCTTTCTAACATGCTGTAGCTTTTCAACGATCATCCCTTGACAAGGCTGTAAGTGCCTCAAGCTATATTCCCCATTCTACGGATGTCCCCAAAAGATTTATTTCTACAGAAGTGGCCAGTAGCAGCACTCCACCAGCCTCCGCAGTAACAACAGTCACCACTTGGAAGTCATTTAATTCTCCAAGAATTGCCTCTGTGCAATTTGCTGTTACTGGAAACGATGGCCGTGCTCTCAGCACCAGGAGCGGTCACCTTGCTAACACAGAAGAGGGCTCATCAGTAAACGTTGTGATGGCCGCATCATCAGGGAGCCAAGCTGTACTACCTGAGAAGAAATCAAGGCCACAACAGGAAGGCTTCTCTCAGCAGCAGAATAAATATAAGCAAGGGGCCTTTCTTGTCAAGCAAAGTGTTCAGAGGAGGAAGTGCTCGCCGAGTTCAGCAGCTGTTAGCCAAGCATAAAGCTAGTCCTTTGCCATCTGTTCTTGCTGAAATCACTGTCCCACCAAAAACTCTTACTGTAACATCAGATGAAATAGGGATGCCTAAAGCAGTTACCTGTGCTGATTTACCCTGTTTTCCTGGAGTACCTTGTGAACTAAGTGAGGACGGAAATGTCAAATGTGGCCGTTGTCCTTATGGTTATTATGGAGATGGTATTACGTGCAGAGGTATTACAAATAACTGTTATAAATGCTTTGCGAAGAAGACGCTTGAGATATATTTATAATTTGAAAGTATGCTGTTATCAGTGAAATGCATACTGAATTTGCTCACTGTCGTTGTTAATACTGGTATAGCTTTCAGTTGCATGGATGCACTTAAAATATATATTTCTAACATATCTCAGCTTCCCTGCTTAAAGGCAGGGGCTCAAGTGATTCTATGTGATGTATTTATTATGTTAGGCAAGACAAAGTTGTGCTGAAATGACAGTGGCATTTTCCTTATTCCTTTCATTGTCTCCTTAATTGCCTTTCAGCAATATGTAGACAAACATGTGGCAAAAATATGGAATGTGTGGCACCCAATATTTGCAAATGCAAGCCTGGTTACTCTGGTTATAGCTGTCAGGCTGGTGAGTATGGCATTTTTGATTTAGTCCATGGTGACTCATATCAATGAATTGATGATTTGAAGCTCACTGTTGATTTTGCGCAGCTCTATGCAGACCTGTTTGTAAAAACCATGGGAAGTGCATTAAGCCAGATGTCTGTGAATGTCTACCAGGATACAGTGGCTCCACTTGTGAAGAAGGTAAATAGAGTATTTTTTTTGGTTTTTTTTTTTACTTTTGAATCCACAGATACCCAAAGGGTGACTTTCATGAAGGTTCATGCTGATAGGAAAGAGTTGTGATACATTTTACAAAACTCTGAGTAAGATATTGGCATAAGCCCTACTTTTTTGACATTTACCATAAATATTTTTTGTGATCAGATATTCCTAAATTTAGTAAGTTACAACAGAAACATTTCATATATATGTATTTTTTTAATCTGTGGCACCATCAATACATTTGATGATAATCTAAAAATAGCCAAAAGGTTTTCTCACTCACTTGTGGACAAGATTTCTTATGCTTTTTTTCACCTTTTTTCGCTGGGCTTTTTTTTACAGTTGCTCTTCTGCACTTACTTACCCTTTTAGTACCTTTCAGTAAAATGAAGGACAGTGAATTACATTTTGCTTTCACATGCATGTATATGCCTCCCCTGCAGACAAGGAACCATGGCTGGAATCCAGTTGGTGCCTTGACTTAGGCACTGCTGTGCCCAAACTGGCACGTCTTAGTATGAGCCCCTTTGAGGATGAGGGTAAGGATACAAAAGGATCTAGTCCATCTCAAACAACCCTTTGAACGCTCTGTAGTTCAGTGAAGAAAAATCTCCAAATAAATGAATATAAACACCACCTTCTTTCCATTGACTGTATAGAGAACACAAGTTGCCCCATATGGTGACCCACTTCACGGTACGGATATTATCAAGTCTTTTTAGGAAGAATTCGTGATGGAGTGTAATGCTGATGCCCACTGCTGTGTCATAGTAACTGCTGGAGTATTCACTTGCAAAAAGAGATCTGGATTCTAGGCCCATATCAGCTGAGAGACACAGATCATCCCAGAACAGTGTCTTCAGCACTGTACATTAGAATATTCCTAGTAAGAGCACTTACCAATTCTTCTACTGAAGCCAAGCTATTTTCCTGAGGGAAGCAGAAAAGCAAGAGGAAGCCCAAGTCCAGTCTAGTAAGGGGCTGCCGGTTGGCAGGAGATGGAGATGGATTCCAGACCCTGCTGTCAGGACTGTTCTTGCAGCATTGGTTGGTCTATTTATGATCCAATCTAAAATGACCATTTTAACTGTTATTCTGATCACATCTAACTTCTGAGCTTCTCCAGTGTTTTAGGTGGATTTATGGTGTATGTTTCCTTAAACTTGCATTGTAATAAAGGTCTCAATGAGAGATGAACATACATTCTCCTACAGTATTTTTGATGCTGTTGTTCAGACTGTTGTAAAGACTGGCCAGGGAAATTTTTGCAGTAAGTAGAGGGGTGCACCAGTGAATGTTGGGAGCCTGTAAGCTAAATACCCCTGAAGAGTGGAAAGATCAGAGCCCTGCTTGGAACCTGGCTCAGATTTCTGCTCTTTGGGGTGACCACCATTGTCACAACTGTTTGGGTCACTGGAATTTGGCTCTTCTTGCTCTTTGTTTTTGTCAAAAGTTATTACATATATCTATTTTATTTCCAGTTCTTTGCTTGCTTTGTCAGTCATTAACACTTCCCTTTTGCTAAAGCATTACCAATCCATGCATCTTCTTAGTGCTGATTTCTTGAACAATATAATTCTCTGTCTGCAGCACATTGTAAACCACCCTGTCAAAATGGAGGCACATGCTTGCCCAGAAATCTCTGCACCTGCCCATACGGTTTTGTGGGACCAAGATGTGACACCAGTAAGCAAAAAAAAAAAAAAATCTTATTTCCCATTTCTTCTGATCTTTGGATGTAATAAAAGAAATGATGGCTAACATTTCTGATGCACTTTGTCTAATGCTAGCAAATGACAAAATACCCATGTCTCTTTGCAGGCTCCTGGACCTGGGTTTTACAAACATTAACTAGATCATATTTGCATACAACTTTGAAAATATAGCGTACTGTAAAAATTGCAAGTAATTTATTATCTGCCATTCAGAAAAAATGGAGGAATTGTTGAGCATGAGAGATTGCCTTCAGGACAAACGCACATGTTTAATATGTCATTATGGCTTCTTAAATTCTGTCATATTAAATTAGTTTGCTGAGGTACATTCAGAAGTGATCTCACTAAACAGCAGGTCAGAAAAACAGACATAAAGGAAAAATGAATTCAAAAGCACGTTTATGAGGCCTTTTTCTTGGCCTAGCATGAAAAACAAAGCTTGCTGTGATCATAGCTGAAAAAATTGCTATAGTCTCACATGCATGCTCTTTTGCATGTCAAATTCTAGATGCTGCATTTTGGCAGTTCCAAATTTTGGGTAGATTTCAAATTGGTAACTTCTATTATTCAGAGAGTCCAAATGTAGGTGTATTGTTTATATTATTAATCTGCGTGTGCTACTGCATTTGGCCATGAATTGAAAAGGTCCTTCTACATTCTCAGTTGTTTCAATTTTGATTGTGACACAAAAAAATTGCTGTTCTTCATTAGGCAGGACTAAAGATGATGGGATATTGTCCTGAAGAACTGACTCATGGTCTTCCACAGCCATGATAGTCTCAGGTCTCTCTCTGCATGCAGCTGTGCCCTTTGAAGTTCACCTGAGTGAACTTCATATTGGAGTCTGTCGAATCCATCCCATAATATGAATGTTTCATTTTTTTTGTCTTACTCTTAAACTTTTCTTAAAATATATTTGAAACTTTCTAGGTGTCTAACACTGAATAAAACCATGGATAAAACATGAATAAAAACATAGATAATTACATGGAAAGACCTTTTATATTCCTTTACAATCCAGTGATAACTTGTTACAGCCTTGAGACTGGATTAATCTATTCAGCAATTCCTCTACAAAGAGTGAAATTGTATGTAATTTCCAGTGTTCATATCTGGGAGAGAACTGAAACATGAATGAAGCATAAAATTGTAACAAATATTTACTTTTTTTTTTTTTTAATGGTGTTTTCCCAACTTCTTGGATGGTAGTGGTTTGCAGCAGACACTGTGAAAATGGTGGTGAATGTCTTGCTCCAGATGTCTGCCAGTGCAAACCTGGATGGTACGGACCTACATGCAGTACAGGTAAAATGGGAAAGTCCCCATTGTAGACTCTTGCAAGTTCACATTCCCAGAAGTGTGTAGGTGGGACCTCCTGTAAGTTAAAACTTGGAACCGTGTTCCAAACATAGCTGCTCAGACAGCAGCTATGGGTGGCTGCTTACTGCTGTGGGGTCCCCACAAACCCTTTGGTCTCCACATTAGTTCTGCTGTTCTAGAAAGCTCAGTACTGATCCCAGAACTTTGCATAAAGGTTTTAAGTGAATGGTGTTACCTGCAGCTGTCTTAGATGTTCAGTTCCTGTCCTTGCAACAGAAGCAGATATTTTATGGATTTAATTTGATTGTCAAGGCTTCACTTTCTTTTCCTCACTCTACTTCTGCAGCGTTTTGTGACCCTGTGTGTCTCAATGGTGGCTCCTGTACTAAGCCAGATGTTTGCCTCTGTCCACATGGATTCTTTGGTGCCCAGTGTCAGAATGGTAATATATTTTTTTCTCTTAGCTGTTATTATGAGGACATCTGTAGGAAAACATTGTTATCTTAAGACACAAAACTCAGTGTTTTAAAAATTCCCAACCAAATCACGTATATGAGAAGAGAGGCAAAACAGAGATTACATTTCCCTTAGATTTTCTTGCTTTGCCTGGCTGGTTCAGTAAAGGTCCAAGGAGAAAAGATACTGGAAATGCCTTTTTTGTCTTCCACTCACTGTCGAGCGGTGTTCAACCACAGCTGCACAGCACATTGTTCCTGGTGAGGCCTGTCCAAGCTCCTAGCCAGATATTATGTAGTCTGGTTACTAGTGTCCATGTGCAGTTATCAACCCAGACACATTCCCATCTGGTTCTGTGTATACTACTTATATATGCACCAATCCACACGAATAGTTTTTACTAGATAGGTGTTATTTTGCTAAATGTCTATTTATACTAATAGAATTCTAATACTGCAGTCCTGTTTCCTAGAGGTGTATGCCAAAAGGGAAGCAAAATGCAAAACCACAGTCTTGTCCTCATGTTTGTTATCTTTTAGCTGTCTGCAGCCCTCCTTGTAAGAACGGTGGTCATTGCATGAGAAACAACGTTTGTACTTGTCCGGATGGGTACACAGGCAGAAGATGTGAAAAAAGTAAGCTAATGTTAAAATCCTTCAAGGATTCTAAAGTTAACCACTAAATTTTATGTAAATAATTAAATTTATTAAACAGCAAATGCTTTTTGATTTAAGGTGTCTGTGAACCAAGGTGCCTGAATGGAGGAAGGTGTGTAGGGCCAAATGTTTGCTCTTGTCCGTCAGGATGGAGAGGAAAAAAATGTAACACGCGTAAGTATGTTATAGTTAAAAGGAGAATCATACCTTAAAATGATATACGGCTAAAGGACAACTTGCTCTACACAAATGATATGAAGCTAGTACCAAAGAGCAAATATACACACATTCAAAAATAATGATCTCCTCTATAACTTCGCAGAAAATAATAAGGATGGGGAACTAATACCATGCAACTCTCAGACTACATTATGAGACCAAAATATATTTGAAATTCTCATATAGCATATAATGTCTTTGTTTCTGTCTTAATTCTTGTCTAAATAAGAGGCATCTGTATTTCTCATCCCGTACAACTGCAAAGGCCTGAGTAACAAAATGAGAGCATTTCAATCTGTGCTATAGGACACTATAACCAGATATCAGAAAAAGAGAATTATGGTGGAACACCACAAAACTGTGGAAATATGGTGGAAAATGTTTGGAATAGAAGATGTGAAGGGCGTTAAGTTCTTTAGGAAAGCTAGCAGTAGGATTGTGGTGGTAGCACAGCTGCGGGTCACATTGTATGTCAAGGAAGTTAGTGATGGTTCATAAATAAAACATGGCAATGTGGATAAAGCACAATCTGCATGGGTGAACGTCATCACGAAGATGGACAGTAGACGTCCAAAAGATGAAACGTGAGCGTGTCTCATAACATCCCACCCGAGGCTCAGATAGTGAGCTCTCTAATAGCATGGATGGGAGGAAAAAAAAAAAACACAACACATTTTCTTTGCATTACTTTCTGTAATTACTGGAAGTTTTATTGAAAAAATATCACCCACAAAATATTGACAGGGTTTAGGTGTTCTTGGACACTGTGGAAGAGAGATTTCATCATCAAATAGTCAATTAACTAATAAGAAATAATAGTGCTTTAGATGATTATGGTTTAGTGAGCAGGTAGCAATGTGCATGAAAAGGGTCATAGTAAACAACCTTGGATCAATTCACAACTTGATTTATGGTATATTAAATTGCATGACAATCAAAAGAAGATCAGTTACTAAGCTTTGGATTTTAGAAAGCTAAATTGGGGGGGAAAAACAGTTAATGATGGTGACCTAATCCAGTATTTTAACTTTTATCTGCAATGCATCAAAATAGCTCAATGCATAATTTGGCCGTAGGGCAAATACTGTCTTCTATTTTCCTGTCTTCTTTAATCTCCTATTGATCTTAGACAGGTTTTCAGTGAAGAACATGTGATTCTTGTGTGTGGAAAGCCCTCAACATCTAAAGGCCATCCTGTAATGTACATAATAGTAAAAGTAGTCACTTGAGATATAACCGAACTTTGTGATATTTGTGCAGCAATCTGTCTTCAGGAATGTAGGAACGGCGGGGAATGTATTGGACCAAGTACATGTCATTGCCCTCCACAGTGGGAAGGAATCCAGTGTCAAACACGTAAGATTGACATGACCTTTATAATAAACTTTGTGCTGCAACACAATTAAGGATGCTTCAGAAGTACATACTATCTGGGAGTTCTAGATCTTTTAACCCAAATCTGTGTCAAAGGAGATAGGATAAAGAGTTGAGATTTCTGTGTGCCCTTTCTGAAGCCCTCTAGAATACAGAGGTAGTCTGGGTCTACTTGGTAGTACATAGTGGCTTGCTCTAACGGCATATACTGCTGCAGCAGCCCTGAGAAGTGATTGCAATAGCCTAAATTTATACCTTCGGCATGTTCCCATATTAAATCTGCATCTTTGTGGGGGTGGAGGGGGAACAGTGATGGGTAAGTGTAACAGAGTCTTGTTAGCTCCACATCCCTGTGAATTTCCCCTTACACTGAGGGTATTGCCTTGTGAAAACATCTACCAAGTTTTCCGTTTCTATATGCAAGCAGAGTACGTAAATAGAAATTGTAGCACAATCAGCCACTTATTCTTTCCCCAGTTGTTTTTATGAATGAAGCCACATATATCTCCCTCTCTCTTTTAGCTGTGTGCAATCCGAAGTGTCTGTTTGGAGGCAAGTGCGTGTTGCCTAACGTATGTTCCTGTCGTCCTGGTTATACTGGAGTCCGCTGTGGGAAGAAAATTCAGGTAATCGTAGTGTCAAGGCACAGCCAATAGGCACTTTACACGTCATTATCTAGTCCAGCCTTGTTCCAAGAAGCAGTACCAAATATACTAAACGTGTTTTTTGCCTAATTTCTTCCTTTCAGGCTCCAGTTCATAAAATTCCTAAAAGCTAGTCCAGTAGTTCATCAGCTCTGCTACTTAACAAAATAGTTTCTAATACCTAAATTCAATTTTTTCTTTTGTTGCAAATTAAGCAGATTATCTCCTGTTCTTCCCTCAGTGGCTGCAGTAGCAACTGATAACTACCCTCTTCATAAAAACCATTATTCTCTTTTCCAGAGTCTGGCCTGATTTTTGGGAAGAGTATCCCACCTGCTGACTTCCTCAGCTTGCATCAGGTCAAACCCTGCTCTTTTTCAGCTCAGTTTTTAATCTCTGTTTCGTACCACATTTCTTATTTTCAGGAGTAACACTGGGAATTACTTTTTTCGTGTACTAGTGAATGATGACCATTTCTCAAGTCATTTTCTGTTATAATCCTTTGCTTCAGCATGCTGACAACCATTCACTAATAATTTAGTTAAACATTTAATTAAAAGTAACTTTTTGGGACATCTGAAGTAGGTGGTATTCTACTCTTGTCTGCATCATCAATTTCATTGAAATTCATTAAAACTGCTTCTTAAACTTTATGGTAAAAATAGGCAGAGTCATTAATATCTCTCTTTACATTTATTTATTTTTCCTTCCAAGGTACAAAGACATCATGGTTGAAGAAAAGCAAGTGTATCAATTAAATTGCAATGTTGCATGGACTTAGGAGACACCTGAAAATAGCAAGAGGCTGTTGAAGGCAGTTAGAGTTTGTTTAAACAAAATGGAGATCCAGAAGCATTCTTTTAAAAATAGTCATATTTCAGACCTGAATTTTTGAAGAGATTCCGTATGACAACTTGGAGTCATTAAGTACATAAATTTCTCTAATTTTTTGCTACCTCATGCACAAAAGCCATGGCTGCTTGATTCTTCACTGGGCTCACAGATTTGATGAACGCTGTAGGCAACTGCACTATGCTCTTTCCTTTGAGGAAACAAGACTATAATAGCTGCTGAGCGGCTGTAGGAAAGAAGTAGGCAGCACACCATCACTTGTGAATGATCCCTTCTGTTTTTAAGCATTGCTTACATAAACATTCTTTGGCTGCAAACAGAAGGAAAAGAAGTATTCTTGCTTCTCTTTGTCTTGGATTTGCATCAGTCTGTGTTATAATGACTCGCTAGCATTGAGGAGGAAGGGGGGAAATCTCAAACAACACTTGGGTACTAACAACACAGGCAAGGCCACATGTCACAACCAGATACAGACTAATTCTACTTTATCCATGGCAAGCCTTTGTATCCAGTAGCCAGATTCTAACGCTTCTTTTCAACTCTGCCATTGCTTACACTCACAAAGCTATGCAACTGGCTACTGAATGATTTCTGTGTCTGTCAGGGCATATCTTCTATCCTACTGCTTTGAAATGGCATTTGGAAGATGAGGAAACTTCCCTCAGAGAAATTTGACAATGGTTAGCCAGAGAGGTCCCATGCTGAATCTTGAAATAGGAATTAATAGGAGAAATTTTTGCTGTATATCAAGCCATCTGTGAGAGATCAAATTAGACAAGTCATTGCAAAAACATCATACAGAAGTTCTTCCTTCTGTTACTTATTGCTCCAACCAATTGTTAGCAGCTACCAGCAGCCCGATTGTTTCTCAAGTTCCTGGAAAGGACTGTCTTTTTCCATTATCCTGGAGGTGTGAAAGCTGTTTCAGTTCCTGCAGCAACCAACTGAGCCTCCAGTCATACTTCCCTTCAGCTAAGCCATTTGCGTTCACAGGTTTGGGTTTTCTTTTTTTATTTTCCTGAGCAATAACCAGTTTGCATACACACACACACACACACACACACACACACACACACACATCAGGCTAATTTTACCATTTACTGCCACTGTGGGATGCTTACTGCCAAATCCAGGCTCTGAGCCTAGATTTCTCTTCACCTTGATAGTCCTCATAAATCATTTTGCAAAGTTGGCATTTTCAGAGCTCAGCATCATTCTAGAATAATACCTGCTGGAGTTCAAAGTGTCTGAGTGGTGCGTTTCAAAAGTATTTTCAGTTTCCCACTTGCATTTTAAGTTTCAGGTGAGCCCTTTGGTTTGTTTTGCTTTGTTTTTAAATCCAGCAGCATCCCAGATCTGCTGTGAACTGTTCTATTATTTAAAATCTACTCTGCTAAACTCAAAGATCTTTACGAACAAAAGCTGACTGCTCCTCTGATGACCACTGGTAGCTGTTGGAACTGATGCCTCATGATGGTGCTTTGACTTCACAATCACAAGGTCCTGAAAATGTTTCTAAAACATAGACACACCACTTTAATATATGATCATCTTGTGCTAACCCTAGTCCAAGTGGAATTTAGTTACAGGGATATTATACTAAGTAGAAATGCGGCAGCTGCCAGGAACATTGTTAATAGTATTTTGGCTAATGAGTTTGTGCAGCTCTCCACTCACATACTGAATGAATCTATATGCCTTTCCAGGATTTCAGGCTGAATAAAAAAATTTTTTTTCATCATAATGTGTAGTATTTCTCATTTATTTTCAGTATTTCCAAAGGCAACAATTATTTTTTTTTATGTTTTTCCAAATGCAAGCTGTGTGAAAACACATCCAGAATTTTCCTAGACTAGTTAAAACTTCAGAGCTCAGCGAGAAGCTGTGCTGTGTTCCCATGAGCACAACATGAAGCAGAAAAATTACTAGTACACACAAAGACAAACACTTCAAAACTGTCTAGTAATTATGTGATTGTTTGAAACTACTTTGTTACTAGGTTGTCCATCATACACATGAAATAGAATCTGTTTATTGTAATTAGAAAGCACATTCCTACAATGCAGTAAAATTGCTCCATTTAAGTGCTTAGTCAGTAGAGGCACATGGAGAGCTTGTGTGCCCAGGTTAACAACATTATTCTAAAACTGCATAATGCAATCTGAAATCAGGCAAAAAGGGGGGGGGGAGGGCAGAGGAGAGGGGAGCACATTGCAGGAGCTGCTGCGGTTCCAGTCTGTTGAAATGAAGGGTAACTTGTGCCAAATTAAAGATCTTACAATGATTCTTATCTCATTAGACAGGTTGCATCAACAGGAAAGTGTTTTTGTAGAAGTAAATCCTTGCTCGTCTGTGTAAGTCAAGGTCTTTCCATCAATAGCAATGGATTTGGGGTCAAATGCTATAAACTGGTAGCTAGAGAAAAATAAGAGAGCGAGTAGGAGCTAAAATACAATAATAAGGCATACACCAATACTGGTATCTTCACTGAATTTTCTTACATGATTTCCTTACATTTGAAATTGTGATCTGGAAGATACAGTACATCACACATTCTTTATCTGGTTGCACTAAAATTGCTCTGTAGCCTGGAGTAATTCACCACATAATTACAGTTTGGATTTTGCCTGTGATCTTGAAAACATTTTTTAAAATACAGTATAATGAACGTTTGCTGAAGAAAGGAGTGACTCAATTGTATCACAGAAAATACTACAAGCCTTAGCAAGGACTTCACTTACTACGTTTGCACCCATATTAGATAAGATTTTTTTCAAATGAGTGGCCCACAAGTGAAAGGCTCTTCCATTTTACAAAAGTTAAAAATACATTCTCACAGCTTAGAAGAGAAAGTGAATTAGTATTTTCATTTGGCAAAAGTAAGCCCTTGAGGAAGGACCAGTGCAATCCCTAAAGTAAATCAGTATAAAAGCTTAACTACTTGACAGTTGGATTTAGCCATTCCATTACTGGGCCCAAACAGGAAAACTGAAAGTTTAAATTCTCAATAAAAACATTAACACTAGGGTACACAAGTACAAAGCCAAACACATAGGTTAGAAAGCATCATTCATGACCAAACGTTTTTTATTTCTTATGTAACAAGGTATCACATGGCATTGTTGTTGGTTTATTTTTCCTAAATTATCAACCACAGCTCAGTTTAGAAAAATTATTAAAGGGTTTGTCAAAGGATATCTTGCAGATAAGACAAGTAGCTCCATTCTTGCTGCAGCCACTGGCAGTGGAAGAGAAAATATAAATGGTAAAACGCACATGTAGATTAAAAAGAAGAAACACTTCTCACCCCACGCACACACTCCAAGAAGCCAGAAATCAAAAATCCCACCAGCGCACTTTCTCTGCAGTTCTTCAGTCATTTTTAGTGAATATCAGAGCATATGTGTAAGGTGTTACAATTAGAACAGGGTACAACCCTTATTTATTAGAGCTATATCATTTTTGTTGACATATCTCAAAATGTTTGAGCTGTATGCATAATTATATTTTCACAGGAAGATACACCTAGTCCCAAATGTTACGAGCTGGAACTACTAAGCATGTTCAGTCCACCAGTGAGCAGAAGCAACAAAAAGAACAAACTTATTTTGAGAAATAAACAAAGGAAAATGAATACTGACAACTCTTTTAATAGATATATGTGGAACTGGAAAAACAATCATTTGGGGACAAGGACTGTCATTTATGATATACTCTGATTCTGTTCTACTTTGAAATAACTACTAGAAAGTTCACTTTTAAATTCATTCAAAATACTGGGAGAGATTTTAAATGATTTTTTCCATAACAAAAAGAAAAAAACCTCAGCCAGTAGATGGTGCTATATTCAAGCAGTATTTCTAAAATCCACGCATTCTGTCTGTTCCATCAAATTGCTGTTTACTTCACTTTAATTGTTCACTTGCTGTTTCTAAACAGTGAACTATTTAAATCAGCATTTGCTGCAGCCTGATCAGAAACACCAATTACAGGTCTCTCTCACTCACTGTTCCTGCTCTTGTACTTCTAACAACGCTAATATCTCTTTCAGGCTTCCAATGACTGCTATTGTCACATTGGGCTTTGTTAGTACAACTAAGTCTCCTCAGGAAGAACGCCGAGATATTATCCCTTTTCATATTTACTTACTTTTGCTCATGTATTCTGAAATCTTGGGTCTGATGCAATTAAATTTTCATTCACCTCCCTGCAACCAGTATTTTATCTAAGGTATTCAGTGTAACTCCTGAATTTCTAAATTATGGCCCGATCTCTGTAGCGAGCCGCGATACAGACACAGAATTTCATCACTGTAAAGCCTACTCCAGAACTATTGATGAAATGATCTTGTTTCTTGCATCAAAACTACATTTTTACCAGAATGTCTGAAACATCTAACGCATCATAGCAAAAGCAGCACAAAAAAAAAATACACCCCTCTTACTCTCCCCCATGACCCTGGTAACAAAATCTACAGAAGATATGTCTGTGGCAGGTTTCATCTGAAACAAATGCAACAGCTTTTCAAGTAAGGGCAGAGGAAGGTTTCTCAATTACATAGAAACTGCTCCATAATAGAGAACAGGAGTCCTACGGACAATATAGTATAGTTTAGTACAATACATTACAGCTTTCTTTTGCCTGCTTGCATGCTTGGCTTCTTGTCTTTACAGAAAACTAGTAAATGAGAATACCCCATTTCATTTGCTCCTGCTCAATGCTTGGTAGCACTTAATCTCTAGAGAAACATCTCCACATCAACCACTCTGCCTCTGAAAGCTGCATGTTCTGGTAACGTAGTATATACACAGATACAAAAGATGAGAATAACGCATAGCTAAAATTCTCCCACTGAACATTACAGTTTCACCTGCAAGACAATAAAAATCTCTCAGAAAATTTTTCTGGGCAACATTTAGAAAGTTGACTGGTTCAACTTAGATGCCTTGGCAAAACCTTCCTCAAGTTGTAGCCTTAATGAACACAGGAGCTTGGTCAGATCTGCAGCCCGTTCAGAAGGCTGCAAAACCTAAATGAGGCCTAACTGTAACATGCTCAGAGGGCAAGCCTCAGCAACCTCCACAGAGGTGCTTCATCGTAAATACAGCCTGTTTTTCATTGCCAATCTGCAGCCTCCCATTATATTGCTACTGAAAAAAACATAATCTTGAAAGGGAATGAATCATCATTGTCTACATCTCCAGAAGGAGGCTAAACACATTTCCCTATCTTACAGGGATTAAAAAGAAAATGTAAATAAATTGGAAGTAGAGCGATGATCAGATATTACGATAGTAGAAGTAGTCAAGATAAGGACTCACTTAGGTATCAGTGAGGATTAAGCTTCTGGAAGGTAGGAGTGGAACTGTCTGAACAAGTATGTTATAAAGGCATAACTGATCAAGATTCAAGTCAGATTAAGGGGGCGGGGGGAGAAGCATACACAAAGCGACAACCAGGATCTTTTAAATAAGATGTTTTGCAGTTTGCAAAAGTTCCAGAAAGATCCAAACTCTGCAAGTTTATTCTTGCAACTGTGTAATCTTACTGAAGGTAAATTACTCTTGAACTAACACCCACCTCTGATGATTTGAGTTAAGGGTGTTTTTTAATATGTTTTTTAAAAACACCTCATTAATATATAAAGATAATTCTAATCAGAGAAAAAAAAAACAGAAGGAAGAGTGTAGATCCATTCTAAAGTACTTTATTCAAAGACCAAATTTTACTTCAAGGTCAGCTGTATCAACCACAACAAGATACTTCTGCTTATGAGGAAAAATGATAACAAAAGAAAACCCATGCAATACACTCTATGCATAGGAGGTACTTGGATACTCACACCACCTTGGTTACAATCTGGAATAACTTTCTTTCATACAAAAGAGCATTTATTTAATCTACATGAAACAAAGCTATCCGAAATCAGTTACCATGTTAAGTCTGCCCCCCGCCCCCCAATCTCATGCTGGACATCATTTCCATATGAAGAGTTACATGAAGGAAACGCAGCTTATCTTTGCTGAGGCCGTTTCATTCCTTCCTTTTCTTTGTACACTGTAGACCAGAATACGGCACTCGACATCTGCACACATTTGGAGCTACGCATTTTCCTCCATGTTGACAAGGTAGTTTACACACGGCTGAAATGAGACACCAGATTCATACTATGTCTTCCATGCAACACAGGTTCATTTTTCTTCTTTGTCTCACTGTACAAGCAGAATTGTTCCCCAGTGACAGCACTGGGACAGTATAAATAAAAGGATAATGGAAGAACTGAAAAGCAATGCCTCTCAATTTATGGCCTCATGGCCTTCACTGGAATACAGTGACAGTATGTCTAGTCTTATTTATGCTCCACTCCCCTTTTAAAACACTAACATTTCTGTTGTTCTTTGAGGGACAGACCATTTTTGAGATGGATGCCACCATGGTAGCGAGGGAAAATAAAAATTCCTGTTGAAACTTTTTCAAGGCAGTTCTTGGATCAAGGCATCCATGACAAAACAATTACACCGCACTAGCTGCTGCTTACGCATTGCCCTTCGGTCCCCTACTTTGCCAGAAGAGTGGCAGAGGGGCACTGAGCAGGCAGAACCTTAGCTTTCCCCTAGCTACACACCAGCAGAGGGGCTGCAATTTGCTTATGAGAGCTGCGTGGAAAGAGGTCAAACTGGATAAAGATCTAGTTAGTTCAGATATAATGACTATTTTTAACGTTAGGGACCTAAACACTTTAACACTATTGATGGTGCAGAGAAGGGAACTCTGCAGTACCAAACATTTTGTGTACCAAACATCTCTACAGCTCCCATGCTTACCTTTCAATATCACCCTCTACCTTGAAACATGGACGAATACAAAGGATAATTATTTTCCTGAAACAAATGGGCACATTAAAGCATTTATTTGTTGACAGTTGCTTGGCAATGTACCGCAGAAGAGCTAGTGCAGTTTATTTGGATTCCCAAGACCATACCAATGATATTTTAAACGCAGAGGACTTAATCCAGAGACCTTGCACCCATGATACCCTACTCAAAAGTAATGTTTAAATGAGAGTTTTCTCATTCTCCAGATAGCAAATAAAAGCTTTCCTTTTTCTAGTCTCAGGAAT